CCGCACTATCTCAGCCCGTAGGCGACTCAGTGCGGTATATATGCTGTGCTCTGCCCTGAGTCCCCTTCAGGGTGAGAAGGGCGGAATATAAATATTTTAAATAAATAAATAAATAATATTGAAATTAGGAAATATTATTGCTCTTGTTGATGATATTCAAGTTTAGCAGTGATACTATTCCTGTACACTATAAAATCCTATACAGTCATATTTGTTTCAATGGTTCCCAAAGGGAAACAAATCCCTCTCCTTAGTACTAATAGTAGTAGTTTTTATTACTGAGAAAGTACACAAAAGTCAAAAAAAGAAAAACAAGCTATCTGTCCAATCTGTGAAAAGCCATTTGGAGTCAAGATGAGGAACACCTGCAAAAGCCTGCAAAAAAGCTCAGGGGAGCAACTTCATAGCAAGGCCTTACCTCCTTTGATGCCCAAGTTTTCCATTCAGTTCATTAATAAATTTCCTGCTGTCCTTCAAAGGAAAGAGAAAAAAGAAGAGTATGAGTTTTTAGAAGTACTCCTGTACAATTTTTTAAAATAACTAAAAGCACATTTCTAAAAGCACCCAAGTCTACATGTATTGCTAAACAGAAACTGACCACCTGTTCAGCTTCACACATCAGCTCATACTCAGAACACCTGTTCCATTGACAGAGCTGCTGCAAAATCAACCAACATTATCGGACTCTTTGCTCTTCCTTCACAAAAAGAAATACAAGCCTTTACCGTCTCAAATTCTTTCTCCTGGATTCCTTTAAAAGCCTTGGCAATGAGTTGGTCTTCAAACCAATGGTCAACAAGGTTGTCTCTCCACTGTCTCCTCGCCAGCCTGAACAGGGCCTCCACAATGCCAACTTGCATGTCATAGTCTCCAAAATAGAGAAGCGAGATTGTCAAAATGGCGGGTTCAGATTCAGAGTCCTTTTCAAGCAATGATGAAATGTACGGTATATCCTTCCCAGCGCTATACATTTGAATAGGAACTATCTTACTCTCTCTTGGCTCTCCCAGAGCCCATTAGCTGGGCCCCATCTACACTGCCATATAATCAGGGGCGGCTCAACCCATTATGCAAAGTAAGCATTTGCAGTATAGTTGCAGTATAGCCAGGGGCGCTTTTGAGGCACTCTTGGGGAAAAATAGACATTGACATATGCGAGTTGTAGTTACTGGGATGTATAGTTCACCTACAATCAAAGAGCATTCTGAACTCCACCAATGATGGAATTGAACCAAATATGGCACACAGAACTCCCATGACGAACAGAAAATATATATCAGTGATTGGTTGGGGGGGGGGGCACCAAAATACTGTTTGCTTACCGTTGAAAATTATCTAGGGCTGCCTCTGCATATAATGCAGTTTAACTGCATTATATGGCAGTGTAGATTCATACAATCCAGTTCATTGTAGGTAAACTGCATTCTGAAACGGTATTATAAGGCAGTGTGGAAGGGACCCTAGTTGGCTCTTCAAATTTGTGTTTATCTTTTGCCACATTCATTATTTGCTAAGTATTACCCCAAGAATGTATACGCTCCCCAGTCTATGGTTAACCTCTGAAAGAAATGTCATTTCTACTTTAAAATGCATATAGGGAAGTATAATTCTTGGGGGTCTGAAAATGGGATGGCAGCAGGCTCCAGAATCTTCACACTTATACCAGCATATGGCATTAAGATATCACTTGGATGCAACCAGAATTCTCCATAAATGCTCAATGTATTTTGCATACACAGTGTTGCCAATCCTTTCAGCTACCTTGTGATGTATAATATCATCATCGTCATAGAGATGAAAAGGTATCAGTAGTGTATGCCAAGGGAACAGTGTGAGTTCATGTGCAAATACACTGGAACTAAGACTTCATTGCTCACACTTTTATATTATTATTATTATTATTATTATTATTATTATTATTATTATTATTTTATCCCACTTTTCTCCCATGGGTGAGACTCAAAGCAGCAAACAAATGTTTAAACAGAAATTTCATAATATAAAAGCACAACAACATCCCCCCCAACCCAGCAAATAAACAAGAAACCAACATATTATAAAACACATTACAAAAACCAAATAAAATAAACATAATAAATGACAACAATTATCATTATTATTAAAATCCCTGGATCTCAAGCCACTGAGGTTATCCTTAACACCTTTTACTGCAAAATCTTGAAGATCTAAGGCAGGGGTCCTCAAACTAAGGCCCGGGGGCCGGATACAGCGCTCCAAGGGCATTTACTCGGCCCTCACTCAGGGTCAACCTGTCTGAAACGACTTGAAAGCTCACAACAACAACAACAATCCTACCTCATCAGCCAAAAGCAGGCCCAAACTTCCCATTAAAATACTAATAAGTTTATATTTGTTAAAATTATTCTTCATTTTAATTATTGTATTGTTTTAAAGTGTTTTTGCACTACAAATAAGATATGTGCCGTGTGCATTGGGATTCATTCATGTTTTTTTTCAAATTATAATCCAGCCCTCCAACAGTTTGAGGGACTGTGACCTGGCTCTCTGTTTAAAAAGTTTGTGGACCCCTGCTCTAAGGCTTTGGTTGTGTGAGCCTTTGCCAGACCAAAGTAGCTTGCTTGTTAAGGGTTGTTGCGGAAGGCCTGCTTCCAAAGAAAGGTTTTCAAGTGGGAGCAAAAGGCCATTAATGAGGGGGCTAAATTCACCTCTTTGGGGAAGGAGTTCCAGAGCCCTCTCTCTCATTCCCACCAGCCATATTTGTGAAAGGTGGGACCGAGAGAAGGGCCTCTCCTGGTGATCTCAGGGCTCGTGCAGGCTGATAGGAGGAGATGCGGTCCCACAAGGCTGGGACCAAACCATTTAGGGCTTTATAGGTTAAAGCCAGCACCTTGAATTACACCACTGTACACAAAAAACACACTACTGTATACAATCATTTCTTCAAAATTCATGGTCATAGCCAGAAAAAAAAAATCTTTAGATGCATCTAAAAAGGTGGATTTTTAAAAAATCCAAAATATCACTAGATTGCAATGGAGGGACAAAGGGATGAATTTTGAGGCACAGGTTCTCATAAGATCTTGGGTTTTCTTCATACGTCTGGATTCCAACAAAGAAGTTTGCCTTACCACCAACATCCCAAATTGTTTTTGCAAGTTCTTCCCTGAAACAACATAACATTTTTTTAAAAAAAAATTACATCTCAGGAAAGGTAAGTATGCACAATAAAACACAATTCCAAGACTGTGGCATTTAATCTTTTAGGAGCAACGTAACTACTTTGCCAGTGTAAGCCGCCTTGAGTCGCCTTAGGGCTGAGAAAGGCAGCATAGAAATGTAGTAAATAAATAAATAAATATTACAGATACATGTATACCTATAAATCAGAAAGAAATGGAAACTATTGCTCAGAATAATTAGTTTTAAGTGTCTTTTAACATTCATCTTGTGCCTGCAAGACACTCTTGGGTTGTATTCAAAAGTGGCTTTAGATAAAATGAAGGTACCTCTGCTACCCAATTCTTTCTGATGTGAGATCCTCGTGCTCACAGAAAATCTATTATTATTATTATTATTATTATTATTATTATTATTAAACTTTAATTATACCGTTACACCATCTCCCCTCAGGGACTCGTGGCGGCATCTACTCTTAAGGGCTACAAGGTTCTGTCACAAGATTGGAAAGAACATGAGTAGAGAGAAAAAAATGTGATGCTCCAGCCTGCACATGTGGAAGAATGCTCCAGTAGCAACCACTAATTGAAGCATTGGATTTTTCACAAGCCCTTCCTATTATACAATCAATGGAAAATATTTATTGAGACTGGAGACAGAATAACCTACTAACAACTACTGGTAAAAGTTCCGGAGGACCCAGTTCCTCATATTAAAAATCAACTTACATAAGCAGGTGTATTTCTTTGGACACAGAAATCGTCTTCCTCTCCTCATTTGTAATGGTAACTAACAGAGTGTTTAAGGTCTTTATGGCCTTTGTTGCATATATCAGAAACCATGCAGAAAAAGAAAAGGTAGAGATTTAAGCCACTAACATACAGCCATTCTTTTACTCCACACAACCATTCCCACAGAAACTAACCTCTTGCCGAACTGTGCTGTTCACATTGGATTCAGTAGCAAGATGTCCCAAACATGGTAAAAAGGAATCCAGCAACTGCTTTCTCCCTATGACAAGAAGGGGAGGAGGGAAAGGGGAGAGACAGAGAAAGCTGACAAGAGACAATGCTACTGGAAAATAAGATTAACAGGAAGACATTGGTTATTATATGTTTTAATAGTTTTTGTATGGATTTTATAATGTTGTTTTAAATGTTTTAATTGTATATTGTGGATTGTTATGGCATCAAATTGCTGCTAACTTGTAAGCTGCCTTGAGTCGCCTTCGGGCTGAGAAAAGCGGGATAAAAATATCATACATAAAATAAACAAATAAATGAAACATATTTAATAGTGATTTCTCTATTACTACATTTTCATTTCATTTCATTTTATACAGTCATACAATTGAAATAGACCACAAGAGCTATCAAGTCAAACAACATCCTGCTATGCAGGAGTACACAAGCAAAGCACTTGCAACAGATGGCCATCCAGCCTCTATTTAAAAACCTCCACCACACATCAAGGCAGTGTATTCCATCAGAAAGTTTTCTAATGTTTTGCTGGAATCTTATTTCAAATCAGCAAGAAATGAGTTTTTTTAAATGTTATACAAGATCCAATAATAATAATAATAATAATAATAACTTTATATAAACAACCCTATCTCCTGAAGGGGACTCAGGGCAGATTCCAGCAACAAAAAGGCAAACATTCAGTGCCTCAATATAACAACAAATACAGATATAATAGCATAAAATAATCAATGTATAAAATCACATTATAACATGACGCCTAAAATTAAATAAAATATAACTTAACAGTTAAAATATATCTAACCTAATATAATAATAATAATAATAATAATAATAATAATAATAATAATAGGTTCTTGTGTGGTTTTTTGGGCTATATGGTCATGTTCTGGAGGCAATATAGCCCGAAAAAACCCACAAGAACCTAGTGATTCCAGCCATGAAAGCCTTCGACAATACATAATAATAATAATTTATTTATATTCCGCTCTATCTCTCCAATGGGATTCCAAACATAAAAGGCAAACATTCGATGCCCGAATACTACAATACATCCATACGAACAAAATTTAAACCACCCAACATATAAACATGAATTATAATGTAACAACTAAAAGTAAATTAAAAACACAGCCTGTTATAACAGACATAAGAAAAAACATCAAATATTGAATGGAAACAATAATTTCCCATTTCCTTGGAGCAAATCGATTAATCATTGTTCAAAATATCTATTGAGCTGGTGGGGTGAGCAGGGCACGGATACAGATGGCAAACATAAGCATTGTGCATCCACATCCTGGTTTTTACTCCCCTATTTTAAAAAGACACTTCCATTTTAGTTTGTTTATGTATGTTTCTATAGACATTGGGAAATTAAAGGGTTTAAAGTGATTCAATCATATATTTATCAACCAATTGAATATAGTTTGGTATATTATTAAAATACCTGTGGCTTCTGGGAGAGTGAAATCAGCATGGCAGTGCAATTGTGATTCTACTGATCAGCTTTTGCCATTACTTTGACTCTAATATACTCTAATTAAATAAGAAGGAAGTGGGGTGGAGGTGACGAGAGTGTTCTCAGCTCTCGGCATTATTGATGGATTGGAGGGCGCAGCATGAATCAACTGGAATGAATCAACTTCATTATCCAATTGTCAAACCTCATTTTCTTTTGACCTGCGTTCTCCTTTTCTCAAAGCAGCATTATAAAGTAAACTCAGCAATGCAATAGATATACCAACTTTATCCAAAATGTTGTCATTGGGCTGAGTGTGTATAAGAACATAATCAAACAAGCCTAGCCATTAACCAACCCAGAATAAAAGCACTATTTAAAACTATCAGTTTACAAGATATTTAATTACTAACCTTCAGAGCTGATTCTGCTAATAACCTGAAAGCAAGATTGGAAGCAGTGATGAGGGCGGCAGTGAGAAAGCAAAATAGATTTCATTAATACCACACATAATAAGAATGCAAAACATTCAAACTTCTGCTAATAATTCCACTGGTTCCCAACCTTTGGTCCTCCAGGTGTTTTGGACTTCAACTCCCACAATTCCTAACAGTTAGCATGCTAACTGGGATTTCTGGGAGTTGAAGTCCTAAACACCTGGAAGACCAAAGGGTGGGAACCACTGAACCACTGCTCTTATAACAGCAGTGTAAAGTGTGAAGTGACAACACTTGCTTGATTCAAAAAAGAACTACTTTTTGTGTTTTTTCTGCAAATTTAAGTTACAAACAAGCATTTATATGCTACATTTCAAGTGTTCAAACTCGCAGTGTTTCTCATACTGTGTTCCTCCAGATGTTTTTGACTTCTGCTCCCACAGAAGGAGCAGAGTTTGAGAAACACTGGTTTAAAGTATTTTGCATGCATCACCTATACACTTGTCTTCTTAAAACCTGTATTTGAGTAAACTAATGGGGGGGGGCGCTAGTATTATATTTATGTTTATGCCCTCTGGCTCCAATTGTTTCTTTCCCCTTCTCTCCCCCCCCCCCCCCCCCCAAATCTAGACAACTCATGGATATTGAATACAATGAGATTTAGATCTGTCTAGATCCAGGGAAGTCATGCTACCCTCTATTCTACCTTGGTCAGACCTGCGTCCAATTCTGAGCACCACAGTTTAAGGGAGATGTTGACATGCTGGAATATGTCCAGAGAAGGATGGCTAAAATGATCAAGGGTCTGGAGAACAAGCCCTATGAGGAGTGGCTTAAAGAGCTGGGCATGTTTAGCCGACAGAAGAGAAGGCTGAGAGGAGACATGGTGGCCACATATAAATATGTGAGGGGAAGTCATAGGGAAGAGGGAGCAAGCTTGTTTTCTGCTGCCCTGGAGACTAGGATGGCTTCAAACTACAGGAAAGGAGATCCCACCTGAACATAAAGAAGAACTTCCTGACTGTGAGAACTGTTCAGCAGTGGAACTCTCTGCCCCAGGGTGTGGTGAAGGCTCCTTCTTTGGAGGCTTTTAAACAGAGGCTAGATGGCCTTCTGTCAGGGGTGGTTTGAATGCGATTTTCCTGCTTCTTGTCAGGGGATTGGACTGAATGGCACATGAGGTCTCTTCCAACTCTAGGATTCTAAGATTCTACTCCACTTGATGTTATGATCTAGAGCTGCTTCATACGTACTAATACGAGATAGTTTTCATGTTCTTCAACAGCTTCTACAACTGATCTTCAAAGGCTACAGGAAAACTGGAAAATTGCCTAGTTATCCTGGCAAGAGTTCATGCCACACAATCCAGCTGAATGCCATTTGAAGCTATTGGAAAACATTTTCGCAGCTCTACAGTGCACTAATTCAACTTTTGAGGGATGCTATTTTGTCTTTCTTAACTACATGCACATAGTGAAATCAGAACACAGTCCAAAGTTTTCATTTCCATGCACTTACCAGGACTGTGTCAAAGAAGCCTTCAATAAGAAATTTCAGGAACACATTATTCTTTTGTTCTGTTGGGCTTAGAGATTCTCTTGTTCTTCCAAACCAAGTAACCATGTAAAAACAAAATGCACACAAGCCAAGTCAAATGAATATCTTCAGGTAATTTTGCAGCAAAATGTAGGTACAAAAGGTCAACTATATATATGAAGATATATGGAAACGAGTGTGACATTTTTATGGGAGGAAGCAGAAGAATAACAATAAGAGAAAGGCTCCCCGCCCCCCCACTTTCCTTTTCCATTTTAACTATGATCACTGAGCCCCTGATGGTGCAATGCATTAAACCATTGTGCCAGCAGGACTGCTGACTGAAAGGTCAGGGTTCAAATCCAGGAGTGGGGTGAGCTCCCATCTGTCAGCTCCAGTGTCTCATGCAGGGACATGAGAGAAGCCTCACACAGGATGGCAAAACATCTGGGTGTTCCTTGCAGACTGCTAATTCTCTCATACCAGAAGTGACTTACAGTTTCTAAAGTTGCTCCTGACATGAGAAAAAACAACTATGATCACCAGCAGCAACCACTAGTTGTTTTATGCC